AATGTGGAAGTTTGAACATTGCGTATATCGTGCATTTTAGACATCATATGTGTATCCATACAATTAACATCTATTGTAATAGTAGTTTCCGAAAGTAGTGATACCCTCTGAGGATGATCCGTAAGGATCGAAACATGTAAGGGAGATAAATCCTCAAGTGATAAAACTTAAATAGTCACATTAGACGGTATTACTTTTGCCTTTATAAATAGGGAACTTCGAAAATATGATGCTTATTCATAAAACAGGCAAAATATGCATTTATATGCACCATCAAACCATGTCTAAAATTTAAGGAATGAAGTAATTCATACTTATATCGAAATGAGCATGCTTTTTGGTTGGAAAAAAAATATGCATTTGCATTAAAATCGGTACCTGCTTGTAACGACGTTTCTAAGTTCCCAACAACAGTGGGTATAGAGTCGAATTCATTTGTCTACATTATAATAATTTATCTTTAATACGTTCTGATTTTTCCCCGACTTTTTCTGCTGATCTGGAACACATACCTCGTGCTGAGGAGCCATTTATACTTCTGGCCATAACCCGCAATCTTAACATTTCCGTGTTATTTTCCCATATACTCCTAGGTCTCTAACGTGGTCTGTTCTCTTCAGGTTCTTGCTAGTAAAATCTTTAGAGTGGTCTATTCATTCCTCATGACCCGCCAATCTCCTCATAGACTGGCAGTACACAACACGAAGACTTGTTTGCGTACTTAATTAAAATATGCCAATTCTATTATTAATGAGGGGATGACAAGAATTTGGTTTGAAGCAACTTGCAAAGCGACCATGTGGAAGGCCAGGACGCAGAATGGGGGAATAAAATTAAAATTTGACCGTGTGGAAGTACGTATTGAAAAATAAAATTAGCTTACCCAGAATGGATCCAGTTTCTGGCTTTTGTGTTATCGGCGTCGAACCTTCCGATTGTATCATAATATTAAACATTAAATCTGTGATTACAAGCTACATTTTAAATTTCCGCCTAAAATATTTCCTCTCTCTTAACAGTGTAAAGTGGTGACAAAGTATATATGTCGAACATGGAATCACCACAAAAAAATTACTGTACTCGGACATCCATGTTTTGTAATATTCTATTTAGTGTCTATAAATCCATTTCTTACTTCAAGATATACATGTTATGAACGAAATACTTCTCAGTAAGGGTACTCCGGGAATAATTTTGTTTTACGATAACAAAAACCACAACAAAATCGGAAAAATTAATCGTTGCAACTTTCGATACTCCTCCGTCGATGGCAACCGGGAACGCTATCGATATTCACCAGCTGGTAATCTTGGCGGGTTGTTCTCGTGTTGAGGGCCAACAATTTCGTTGTCTTCTGTTTAGCACTTAATACATCGAATTTAAAAATGAAACCAGAATGTTCCATGGTTTCCAAGGTACAAAGTTCAAGATTTTAGGAAGAAACGAATGTCATAATAATAATAATAATAACAAACGCATTCTAGTGATGCTGTTTTGTGTTCATGTTTTTTCTGTGTTGTACAGTTTTGTTTCGTTTCAGGAGGGAAAGAGCAGTAGATTATCATTGCAAGTTCTTCAGCCAGCAGCTGGTGATAAAGAAAATCTTGTTGGTGGAGGCAGGCAATCGGTTACAAATATGAAAATTGGTGTGAAAGTAGGGTAAGGTTATGTAGTTTCTTTCATTCTGTAACTTAGTTAACTGAAATGTTTGGAGGATTGTTTGGAAGTCTCCGGTTTCATAACCTTTTAGGACGTGTTATAACATTCACTGTCCTCTAACTAATGGTCAGATTAATATGCCAATTTCAATCAAGAGACTGGAGTTTCATATTTGTTTTATACAAACAAGATCTTAGTTTTGTAATTTAATGTGGAAGAAATTAATTGTGGGCCCTGATACAACAGTCTCCCCTGCCAGAAATCTGTAAAATATAGATAGTATGTAGTCTGAACACATAATTTCTTATGATTCTGAAAAAAGAAAACAATGTTTTTAGTGGAAGTTTAGATTGTGTTATCGATTCCCTTGCTCTGCTAAGGAAAATATTAAGAGCCTAATCAGTAGAATATTAAAGAAAACATAATTTTTTAGTTCATATAATAATGTTTTCTCTACTGGCTAGGTTTATATAGTGTGAGAGAATGATTATGAATGATGAATTGGCAAAGATGTAGAAGGAAAGTGTCATGGTCTGGTTTAAAAACCTATTCCAGCTTTGGCCAGACAAATTTCAGGATGACTAGCCTCAAGTAAAAAAAAAATAATGAGGTCAATAAGCCAGGCTGTCCAATCCTAACTGATCCAATCCAAATGTGATGCAACCAGGAATGAGCATTTGTGTTGTGTGCAATGGTGACATTTCTGACAAGGAAATTAAATAAAATCAGCATGAGCAGCCTGTATAACATAATTCAAACTGAAACTTTCTTTTACTAAGGACTCTGTATTTACTTCCAGTCCCAGGAATTCACATACCGTTAATTATTTGTCTGCATGGGCTGGACATTTCTGACTAGTAGACATAAATATACAGTTGCTTACTACAAAGGCATAGGACAACTTGGGTACAGGTGAAACAAATCTTATGGATTGAGGTTATGATTATATGCTGGGTGCTTGAAATCACATATTTCAGGATAATGGCAGATCAGCTAGGAGCATTTGGGAATAGTGATCAGTGGGAGAAAAGTAATGTACATGGATAATCTGCCCTGTTGCCAGTCTGTGCAGTACAAATCCAACATGCACTGCCCTGGCTTTATATGTGCGCCTGCACTCACTGCCTGAGCCAGAAGTCGCCACTTCTATTTACTGTCCTCATTTTGATTACAGGGATGAATGCGAAAAAAGTAACGCAGTCAAGGAAAAGATTATAGAATATACAGTGACGAAGGGGAATTTGAAGAAGAAGAAGAAAGTGATGCACAGATCAACCCAAACTGATAAGGAAGAGTACAAACCAAAGATTGACATAGCAGACCTCACATCAAATGGTATTTTGCGCTGACAAGCACATTTGATTGTCACCTGTCACTCATAATGTCCTTTAAAATCTTGTTTTTCATGTAAAATGCTGAACATGGATTGGTACAATTGAAATTCATTTATATGTTAATATATTTTTGTATATATATGCTGGACCTGGGTGTGTTGTTAAATACAAGCAAGTGTAATTGTTTTGGGTTTGAGGTTGTCACAGAAGTAGTTATGAAGAGTTCGTCTTGTGGGACGTAACACCATATACTGTACCGAAGCGTCGGTTGATTTTCAACAGAGTACATGGCATTACATATCAGAAGACAGAATTCTTCAGAAGTATTTGTTCTTCACACAGGATATAGTTTCTTTCCATGTTAATAACCAGGGCCTGGATTCTGATGACCAAAAAATATTTTTAAAAATGACCGAAAGAATCCAGATAAATGGCCTAAAAGTTAAAAGAACAGCCTAAAATGTATCATATCATGGAAGATCTACTAACTGTTTTAAAATGTATTTTTAATTTTTATTAACACTGAACTCATCGTTAATTTTTTAAGTTTGTCCTTGTTTATATGTTGAAAATTAAGCAATATATGGTTGAATCAGAAGCTAAATGTATTTATACGATGTTTCCTGCCATGCTGGAATGCTTATCAAATGTACATATACGGTATATATTCCAGTATTTAAGTGTCACCTCATTCAGAGTTGCAATAAATGACAGTTAACTTGTGGAGATTCTCGAAGGTGAGCGAGCGCCTATTGTCCGACAGCACATTTTTGTACTTGGAGAAACTCCTTTCCACATCTGCAGACACAATGGGAGTGTACTCGAAGTGTACCAAATCACTTGCAGTAAGTTCTTCAATGTTGAAAGTGCTAAAGGACTCTCCTATCAGAGTTTGAGAAATGCTGCATAATGTTTCATAACCTGAGATTTTATCTAGAACATTTTTCATTTTTCTTGGCACCATTTTACCAACGTCCCCTGACACTTTCACCAATCACTGGCTATTTTTTTCATGAGAGCGATCGAATCTTCTAATGTTGCTCTTTTCTCCTGTAAGCATTTGACTCCTTCTGTCAAGGAACTGAAATTTGCATTTATGAAGGCCAGCTCTTCTTCCAGTTCGCTGCATGAGAGCTGTTCCTGAGCAGCTTCAACTGCCCTTGCATCTTCTGTCTTCATTCATTGTACAATGTTTTTTAGTGCCTGAAAATGATATCAGTAGTAAATTGTAGCATCAATCCACATTCCCCACCTTGTGATGACAGGTTCCAGGGCAATGGAACACCAGGAGCCATAGATTTAAATTGTATTCTATGAGCTGGAGCCCTGACAAAAATCTTCATCCACGACACGAGAGCATCCACTTGAAATTTTGATCTCACTTCCTCCATCACTCTGTGTAGTGCATGTGCTAGGCAAATAATGTGCACCTATTTCATATAAAACGACTTATTGACTTTCCTGCTTTTAAAATATATATTGGGCTGCATCGGCCACAAAGAGCAAGACGACGTGTCGTAAACCTTCTGGCCACAGTAGAAACATCGACCTCTCAAAAGAGTTTACAAATTGTGGAATGAGTAAAGGATTCTAGCACCTCACCTGGTCCATCAATTTCCAAGGTTCCAATGGCGTTTGCCACGTAGCAAGCCTCCGTATTGCAGGTCTCATCAATAGAAACGAAAATCTGCTTCCCATGCACTTTATTTCTAATCATTTCCAGGATATTGTTGTAACACTTGGAAAAGTAGTTTTTCCTGAGGGTGGATTCATCTGGGATAGAACGATTCACTTCCAGAAAATTTTTCAGTTTTTCATTGTCCAGAGCTCAAAACGGAATATTTTTGGACACCAGAGCATCACACAGATCTGTGAAAAAATCCGATGACTTATTTCCGCCTTCAGATGAACACTGTTGCAGTAACATTTGCAAAGATTTCTTTTTGTTTGAAATTTGCACTGCTCGTATATGCCTGTTGCAGCCGGTATGTTGTTGTACCATGAATCTTTTTTCTGCCGCTAATTTTGTGTCACATTTCACAGTATAAAATGGTAGTGTCATTTGAAAATATATCATCTCCAAATTCAGCTACAATCTTCTTTAAATGACACGATTTAGATGGCTTTGCTTTAGGCATCGTGATAAAATGAATCACTCTAGTACAACACAGAATTGAACTTTTCATACTGAGAACTTTTTGTCAACTGTATCTTTGTCTGTACAGTCAAGGGCGAGAACCTGAAGACAGACAGAGCTTTATTGAGCAACAGTATGTCATGAAAAGTGAGGGATTTCAACTAGAAATATTTGTAACTAAGGAAATTCCTTTGCGCAGAACTTGGAAAGGGCTGCATTGTGACTGACCGCTGTCATACCCTGCTGCCAGCTTAGCACTTTCCGCAAAACGAATGGAAAGGACCGGACATTATTGCAACTTATTATTGCATACTGTGGTAGCAGGTATTTTGGGTGCAGCTGCAGGCTGCCTTTGTAGAGGCAGGAGAAAGAGAAAGAAAGAACATTTTACTTGCATATTATTCACATTTCTGAAAATATATGAAGAAAATTTCACTAAAATGGTAAAAAAATGACCTATAAAAGTTACATTTCTGTAACCAGCAGCTCATCTCCGGGATTTATGTATTTATGGGCATTGAATAGGATACAAGGAAAGAAAAATGACATGTCATCAAAATCTGGGTCCTGTTAATAACAGTATATACCAGCTAAAACTTTAAAGGAGAAGTAACACTCAAAACATTAAAATTGACTCATGTAAATGAAACAAAACCCAATCACAGTGGCTGAGCGGTCATGGATTTGAATCCCACTTGAGGTATGAATCCCTGTATGCATTTATTCTGTTTTTGTGTTGTTCTGTTAGAGGTAGAGGCCTTGTGATGGGCTGATCCCCCATCGAAGGAGTCCTACTGACTGTGTACAAGATTGAGAAACTGAAAAGCGTCCAAGACCCAACAAAGGGCTGTAGAACCATAGGTAGATAAAAAAAATGGGAATGAGGGTTTGAATTGCATGCAGAACTCTGCTGCTGTACTTGGATTACTTTACCACTGTAGCTTTGGTGTCATCTCACCCATATGTATGGTCCTTGGACTGTGATATCACCATCAACTTACAGCACTCTTGTGGAACCCTTCAAGTGTCGTGGCATGCTCATGACAAATGTCTTAAGTTGCGTGACTGCCCATTTCTGTGTGGCCCCCCCACTGTCCAGGATATGCTATACTCAATGCCAAGGAAGGTGTTAGACCGCACATTCTGGACCTGTCACTGAGTGACTTCCGTGCGTTCATCCTCACAAGAAGTGAGAAAGGGCCATGGATTCAGGTTGGACAAACATCAAGGCCTCAGTGGTACCAACAGGAGCCCAGAGGGGACATACTGGGTGGTGTGCCAATGGGATGACTGCCTCAACACCCATGGGTCCTTTTTAATGATATCTACTTACTCACCTTCTGATGGCCTTTGGCATTAGCAAAATTGGATTTTCAGGTTGTGTTTCCTGACCCAGTTCCCATCTTTCTAGAATAAAGAAGGATGTGCAATGTATTCTTAAATATAAAAACTCAGGACAGTTTTGAATTGCTGTTCATGACCCTGTGCTTGATGAATTAATCACTGTGTCATGAAGACATATGGAGGAGTGGATGTATAAATCCACATTTTCTTTACCTTGGCAGTAAGCGGCCTCCGTAGTCTAGGGGTAATGTTCCCACCTTATGACTCAAGGTAAGCAGGTTCAAACCTGGTGGAGGTCATGGAATTTTTAAGGGCGGAAAAATTCAGGGAACAAGTCCTCCGGGAGGGACTTTAAGCCGTGGGTCCTGTGTCGTAGCTTTACGGCACGTAAAAGAACCTCATGTCTGAAGGAGGCCTCTGAGCTAAATTATCGGACATTTACCGCCCAACAAGAGTCTCTAACGCCTCTGGTAGATGGGGGAAGCATCAGGTACCGCTGAGCCAGTAGAGGCCAAACTCGCTGGCTGAGTCGGGGCTCATGGCACGCACCAGTACTGGTAGGGTATAGAGACTGGTAGAATATCAAAGGAGGATGTACAAGAGACTACTAGTCGCGGTGCATGGGGAAACCCACCCCCTCCAACAATAACAATAACAATATCTTGGCAGTAGCTGGAGGTGAGTGGTCAGCTTCACACCCCTGCCACTTTACTCCCTAGGAAAGAGACCCTGGTACCCATTGAATAGGAGGTTGGGTGGACCCCAGAGCTAGTCTGGATGACTTGGAGAAGGGAAACATCCAGCCTGCAGCCAGTCACTATACCGACTATGCTATCCTGGCTCCATTATCCATGATGACAGTTAATTTTTTCTTAATTTGTAATTTTGCCTTTTGACCGTTTATTGTTGACTTCAAATTTCTCCACAGCATTCTGTATTTTCATCTTGGATGATTCTTATGTTGGTTCACAATCCATCACTAAAATGTCAGAAACAGAGGACCCTAGTGTTATAATATGAAATTATGTTATCAGTATGCCCCTTCCACCTTTACACCAGTTATGATAATCATGTCCTTGATCAACAGAACCACCAAGTGAAAATTACTGGCAGTTACTGGCAGAGAAAAGGAGAATTGCACTTGATGAGTGCCTCCAGGAAAACAGAACACTGCATGAGAGATTACAGCTGCTCGAGGAGGAAAAACGAGTTACCGAACAGATGTTAGAAGAAAGCAGGGATCTGGTAGAAATTCTGAAAGTAAGTTCAGTTCTGGTGTTGTATCATCACGAGTTCCAAGAAAGTACAATCAATATAGCACAGTAATGTCCTAAAGAATGCCACAATTACTCGTATAATTCCAGTTGCATATGGTGATCACATTAATCAGTAATTTCAAAATATGTTTTAACTCGACTGTATTTGCTGTATGACACAGTGTGCCACAAACACCTTCAGGATGACATTAAAGAATCCTCTTCTCAAGAACTACAAGGCGGTACACATTTGGCCCCTTCATGAGAAGAAATAACAATGACACAAACCAACTTGATTTACAACTTCCAACAAAAATCTTAAACTAATTGTAAATATTTTAACATATTAAGACAGCTGCTGTAGTTCTTAAAACATTAGATTTTATATCCATTTTATTTTATCAACAGCATTCAAAAACATATTGTAATAGTGGCTTCCGACTGTATTGATGTCCCTCTGAGGATGGTCTGTAAAGACCGAAACATGTAAGGGATGAAGGACTGAAATAAGAAAAATCTTTACTAGTCTCATTGGACGGAACTGTGACCACCTTGGAAGATATAGCCAAGATGAACTGAATTCATGTGACTTAGAGTGGCCACTGGTGGCAGGCTGTTGTGAACAGATTCCATAAAGGGCAGGGAATTTCTTGGTTAGGATAGAGTGTCTGTGTGATGGAGTTTTATTTATAATATATAACAAGCTTTCCATGTTGTAATTTCAGAAGTTTTTTTAAGTCTTTATGTACCACTGGGAAAAATGACGAGAAACGGTTTTTTAAATCAGAATTACTACGTTTTTGGTTTCCATCGTCCAGTATTCTAGATACTAGAAAACACAATGTTTCGGAAACTGTATCTGTTTCCATTCTCAGGTGAGGGGGGAAGACACCTCAGTTGGGTCCCTTAGAAAGAGCAAACCTTGATCGCTGGACCAGTGACAACAGAAACAGATCCAGTTTCCCGAAACATCGTGCTTTTTAGTCTCTAGAATACCGAATGATGTAAAAAGTCTAAATAACCCAGTAATTCTGAGTGTTGTACACCATTGTCAGAACCCTTTAGAATCTACTGTTTACAAAGAATTCTGACTTTGGAGCATGATGCAGTAAGGTTTGGTGGATAGGTGCTCTTCTGGCCAGAAGGTGGAGCAGCAGGTTCCTCTAAAATGTTGGTACCTCTCCACTGAACCATACAGTGGTAGATCCCAGAAGACAGTAATCTTCATACCAACTACCACAAAAACCTCAAGTCTCAACTACAATTTGAATAAAACTGAAAATGCTATTTTGCTTCCAGGAAATAGTTGCTGGTGAAGACCAAGAAGCTCAGAATGACTCTGAAGCCGAATCCTCTTCATAATTAATTCATCATGCTTTCCTGACTTGATTATGGCCATGTTGCAAAGCAACTGGTGGGCTTTTGTTTGTGCTGTGTTTCATACCTGTTATTGATGTATCTTAAATTTTGACGTAGTAACGTTTTTCACTGTGACCTTCCAGTAAATGATTCTGACATTGTCTGTAATTATTAATTGCGTAAAATGATTGATTTTATAAGAGAAAAAATAAAAATAGAATGTTATGAGGTGACCATGTTTTCAGACATATCAGTGTTGCACGCTAAATTCCATTACAGAAGTTGTTTGGTATGGTTATTCTTTGTATTAAAAATGAAAATAAATCATTAAAAGATCTTACATAGGATATACTATATATTTTCTACACGTGCTGTGTTGACCCTGGCACAGTCTGATGAAAGAATGGAATTACCCATCAGTATTATTAGAACTTTTTCACTCATTTATGTACCCCTGATTTAATTCACTTAGTGGGGGGCGGAGTTCAACTGGGTCCACTCAGCACAGAGGCCACTGATTGGCCTACTGTAGCCTGCCCCTGGTGATTATGATGATGGAGAATTTTATGGAATGAAGATTGGCAGGGAAAACGAAAGTACTCTGAGAAAACCCACCTCAGAGACACTTTGTCCACCACAAATCCCACTTGACCAGAGCTGGACCACCGCAGTGGGAAGCCAGCGACTAACCGCTTGAGCTATGGCACAGCCATTACCCCTGGTTTTGTGGTCTTGTTTGGAAATATGAGTTGTACCTAAGACATGCTGCTATGTGCTGTGCTGTCTGCCCCTCCCCCAGTAACTCTGAATTAATTCGTGAATTTTCATAGATCGGTATGAACACACCACTTCAGTTTTGTTTTTGTTAACTGCCTACCATCAATAATACTAATATAGCACTCATTCAAGCTTGTGATGTGGCAATTTAACTGCTGTCAATGCAGGAGCATCAGAATTTATGATAATAGATCTTTGAAAACTATGTCTTTTGTGAAGGAAATTCCTTTTATAATTTAAGAGAACATGCTGATAACAGCTGCTACACAGTCTAAAGGTCTATGCTGGGTATGACTGCAACTTGGGGCATATTCACAGATTTCTGTGTTTGTGTTGTCTTTAGCAGACAGAGGGCCAATCCTGTGAAAGAGCTGTAAAATTCATAATTTCAGAAGTTCATTTTGAATTGGATTAGGTTACAGGGTCTAATCCAAAAAGGCTGAAAAAAGGAACTTTGTCAATAGCTAATAATACAAATTCCACTATCAACACAACTATAATTTATTAACTTATTTTCCACTACATGTTTTGACCCTTATAGGGTTGAAATGCAATAACCAGTAGTAGTACAGACCTTGCAGCAAAGCATACCATATGATAACAGTATCAGTCGACATCCTGGTAATAAGAAGAAAGATAAATTCATACTCAAGGAACAGTTAACACAAACGAATCTAGCCAATAAGAGAAGAATCAGACAAAAAAATGCGTGGTCTGCTACAGCAACAGACACTAAACTGAATGCAGCATATGGCACCTTTAAATTAATTTTCAATTTTCAACTTTTTGTTTCATATAAATCTTACTGAAATCAACATCTAGATGATAGAATATAAATGTACATAGGAAATAGTAATTTTAAGTCTATGTATGTAAATATGTATACATGCTTTACAATTCAATAATGAAAATGTAAATCGCAACACCTGAGGATGACCCTATAAGGGTCAAAACATGTAGTGGAACATAAGTTAATAAATTATTGTTGCGCTGGTGGTGGAATTTGTATTACTCATGCAACAGGATGCAAACTTTAAAAAAAAATGTCAATAGCTTTCCATTTGATTCCAGTGACTAATGCACCATTGGAGTCAGCCATAAAAAATTTGGTATGGAGATGGTCAACATATGTACCTTAATACTTGCGTGTGAAATATGGTTTACAAATATTAAGAGCGTGGTGCTTAGATTTTATATCGGATAAATGTAACATATCCAGGATCTCAGCTACAAGAAATGTGTGCATAAAAAGAGATCATTAAATAGTGTAATTATTAATTTATAGTTCTTGCTAGCCTCACCTTACACACTGAAAATTTGGAAGGAGGTAGACAGCATAAATACTTTCCACAACTTCTTGTTTTCTGCTTGTAGTTACTGTTAATTTACTGAATTGAATTGGTTGCAAAATTAGTTCTTGGTGGAAGGTATAACTTTGGCCCACACAAATTCTTTCAAATAGATAGCTGCTTTGTAAGTAAATTCATAATTTGAGGGTTCACTAATTTTAAGAATGTGAAAGGAAAGGGTCCATGGAAGTACTTAATTTTAAACTTTGTGACAGATAAGAGCATATAGGAAATGTACAGTGTACTATATTACCCCAAATATAAGGAGTGTTTTTTTAATACTGCTGCTTAGAAAAATGGGATTGCTTTATTTTGAATCCTTAAAAATATAAACTTTTTTGTTCTTCTGTACAAATCTCACAACTAAAGAACATTAAATTTTGTTTAAAAAAGTTTTCTAAATTTCTAACCGGAAAAATTGGTGGATTCATCACATTCCAGATTATACAGTATGTGTAAGTATACCCAATAGGTTAAACTGAGTCTCCTAAATAATTTACAGGACTTCTCGGTCACCTTGGAAGCACGATGTAAATACTTACAGGAACTTTAAATACTTGGTCCATTGCACACTGTTAGTTACATAATTTTAGTACAAGGATTTTTTGAGTTGTTGAATGGGTGCTATACAACAGCTGACACCATCATTATTTAGGCTCAAAATAAGAACTGCCGGTTGCACTTTGAAGTCAGGATATTCATAACAAACATCACTACGGGCTATACATCGTCTGTTACCCAGAACTAAATCAATTTTGGTTTGCTGAGTATATTTTATTACATTCTAATCAACAAGTAGATTTATTGGTAAACGTAACCATCAAGTGTACCAAACCGCAACCAAGATATGTTGCACTCCGGAGTTCCTTCGTTCAAATCTCGACCTAGAATCAGTAATGCTGATCGATTTTCGACACCCTTCCCTGACCCTCCATAAAATTCACCTAACTGCAAACCTACTTACTGTAAAACAAAACCTCGTCAGAATCAACATCACACCCACCAAGTCATATCCAATTCGGTCTTTCAGATACACGTCTTCTTAACCCTAGCAGCTAATGCTTGAAGAATAAAGGCATGAAAAATTATGTCTGGAAATAGCCAAGCAATACAGCAGCGCATACACACTTCCGACACCCGAACATGATACAAGTTTCCATTAGTACAGTAAGTTATCGCTTTCGTTCAGTCATTTGTCTCATACAACGTTTTTGTAATCGATATATCGTTAGTTTCCATGGTTAGAGTTGGCGGTCGCCATTGCGTGAATTTAAATCTATGTGCCGGTCATTATAAACTTAAGTGCACACTTGTTCAGCAGCAATATGAATAATAATTTTAGAATGAACAAGCCAAATCCGCGTTTCACAGCTCAGAGTAAGTTTTATTCAACGTTATAAAGCTATGACTGTGCTCCCATGATTATCACGTAACACTTTAAATGTATGGTGACCTGTGTACGAGTAATTGTAGGTTATATTGCGTTCATGCTAAATGAAAAGAATTGTATCATGTGTTTTGGATAGGTCCTTATCAACGTCCAGTTTCGGGAGGTGCTATTGGACAAAATATGTATAATCTGTTCCAAGGAACTTCTACAATGGACAGTGCCATACGGTAAGAGCATTTCATTGCTGAAACTACGCACAATAATAACAATAATTACATGGTTGGTAATGTCGAAATTTCCAGGAAGTAGTAATGCGTTTTTTTTCAGTCACAATCTTGTCTGGTAGCATGATGTACTGCGGAACTACAGGTACTTTCGAAATTCGCGCGATTATTTTGAAGGAGCTCCAGACAGAACTCATAGTATAATTTCCTGTTCCACTGATTTCCAGCCTTAGAAATCTGTTGATGTTAATGTTATATTTGTGTAATGGAAGTCTAAGTATCGGTCTTGTAAGACCGACACATGTCAGGGTTTTAACAACACGTAGTGAACAACAATAAACTTGATATACTTAGATGGGCCGTAATCTCGTGTACATAGCATATCCGGAAAATGACTACTATCAAATTAAAAGTTCACATTGTTTCTATCTTACAATTGTCGTATAAACTCCCAAAGAATCGTATCGTTGCCACTGATTGTAATTACTGACTTAGGCTGACCATAGTTATTTCATCCGATGTGTGGGAACTTTCGTAACCTTAATATAGAATTGCATATTTTAGGTAAATTCTTCAAAACCACAGAACAGAAACAAATAATAATTAATACTTATTGATTTCAGGACATGTTTTTATCTATATTTCAGACAGGGAAATAAGTAATTCTGCCGGCCACATAGCCCCGCGGACTAGAGCATGAACTGTCTTCGCTTGCTCGGGCGCTGGGATCGTGGGTTCGAATCCCACTTAAGGCATGGATGTTTGGAGTGTGTATGCGTTCATTCTGTGTTCGGGTTGTCCTGTGTTTAGGTAGCGATCTCGCGACGAGCTGATCAGTCGTCCAAGGAGCCCTACAGTCTGTGAAAAATAATTGCGGAACTGAATAAGAGACCAGGGACATGAATGGGCTGGAAGAGCCATTGAAAGAAAAAGAACTAAGTCTGAAAATAGAACCTAATGAGTCAATGCTGACAATGCCACAGTTATTATTAAGAATGTGACACAGTAACTCATCTGACATAATAATAATAATAATAATAATAATAATAATAATAATAATCCGCGTCATTCTTCGAATCTGAAAGTTCATTACTGAGCTCACAAGAGCCCACATAGGTATGGGACAGAGTATTTTTAAACTGAGGCCTGCTTTACCTTTAATGATGATGATGATTGGCAGGCAAAAATCGAAGTTCTATAAGATAAACTTCCCCAACTGCCGCTTCATCCACCACACATCTTACACAGATTATCCTGGTATAGAGCACTCAGCGAGAAACTGGCGACCAGCCAGACGTGTGCCTTCAGCGCTTGTATGCCTCATACACTGTTCTGTGTTCAGGTTTCCACCAAACATAACGCCTTCTGAGCAAATGCTGTCCCGGTACAACACTCCAGGTCACAGCAAGAGCCGTTACGGCTACCCGTATTTCCAGGACTCGCCGTACTATACCGAGCAGCACGCTTACTCGTACACGCCGCTTGTTGCTCGAGAGTATAGCTCGTTCGAAGATGTCGATACTGGATATCGCTGTCAATTTGAAGATATGACCTCAAACAAGCAGAATTCTTATAAACAACTGAAGCCAACTCCGGATGCGTCATTGCCAAAGAAGTCTGGCCACCGGGTTCGCTTCAACCTCTCAACAGACAAGACAAAGCAGAGTAATGATGCTTCCCCCAGTACCGTGAAGGGTACAGAGTCACCGAAAGCATACAAGGTTTGCGCATGTCTTGTATATTTATTAATATATTCATACAACTAGGTTTTGGCGCATTCGCAAGGAAAATTTGCCTCGCCATGTCCTAACAGCTCGGTATCTGCTTCACTGACTATCATTAAATCCGTTAACAGGAGGTTTCATTGACGATTGTAAGAAAACTACAATTTTTCTTAACACCGGAAAATGTCGGACAATTTGCAGGAAGAAGTACTCGTGTTCTATCCGCAATTTGAAATTAACTCTCTAAATATTTATCGAAACGAAAAATAGGAGCAGCGGAAGTTGTATGGAGAAATGACATACACACTTTATGTCCAGTACAACTTCCCTGCAATTTCAAGGGGTTCTGAAAAATTAAAAGAAATTCCTGTGCTGTGTCATCTGATAACTCGAGAACTGTTGGACTGATTTCAATCATATTTTATATCGGAAGTTCTTGTTCGTCCGCCTCACTTGTTCGGAGACCAGCAATCTACAGCCGATAATAAAGCGAATGCGCCAGTATTATAAGCTAGGAATTCGTTTCCCAACTCGTTGCACTGTACAGTGTTTAATACACTTGCTGTTATGTGTTTCGCTAGCGCTGGGAAGACGACTCGAAGCCACTGAGAGTGTTGGCAGGATCAATAGACAAGATCATTAAATGGGAGAAGATAAAGGAATCATCTCCAGTACTTTTTGAAGTCATTGGTGAGGAAACAATTTATTGATTTGAAGTACAGGGTCCACCCCAAGGTGTCTTCTATTTTGTTATTATGCAAATCACGAAGTGAGCCTTCCTGTAGGGGATGTGACCACAAGTAGGCTCTAGTAATGCCAAAACCTTCCTTGCAGCGACCCTGGTGACGGTGCGCCCAGGCGGTTTCCGCTGCGAGCAGATGTTGCTCCTCCGAGATGAGGCCACCCCTGCACTGCAGTGCTTGTTCTACACGATCGACCGTCCTCTGCCCCCCTTGGAGAAGGGGCAATTGGTCAGGTGAGACAGCCCAAACACCACGTCACCAGTTTTGGCGCAATCACGATGAAAGTATGTGGAAATGCGCCTATTAGCTTCGTCACCTATCAGCATGTAGCGAATTCGAGAACCGCTAAACGGATTTTCATGAAATTTGGTACTGAAGCGTTTTCTAAAGTCGGACAAAAATACCGGTCACTTCACGCGAAGACCTGCACGCGTTTCTGCGTGCTACATGGGTGAATCTAGCTGAATATTGATATATAGTGGCGTCTGCATAACAATTTTCTTCACAATAAACGTAAAACTAGGCAAAATTAAACTAATAAAAGCTTCAGTATTAATTATATTGTGACTATATTATACCAGTACACGTTTCGACCTTAATAGATTATCATTAGATGGTTTATATTGCGATCGAAACATGTAGTAGTATGGCATAACCACGACATTGTCACGATTTAGTGTGTAACTCTCGACGGGGATTTTGGTTGGAGATCGGATGTATTGGCCACTTATACCCACGACTCGGAACTACAAGCAATTACAGCGCCATCGCTAATCTTCACAAATCACCACAGCACCCGCTGAGTCTTTTTCCAGCCTTCTGTGTCTTCATCAGCTGTTCCCTGGCAACGGCTTCTAACAGTGGAGATTCTTCCGCTTCACACGCCCAGCTTCCCGTACAGAACTCAACTGAACTCTCAACTAACTTTGTCCTTTGCTTATAACATCTTGCCGCTCGTCACGCAGAAACAGCCCGTTTCTATTCTTATAGTCCAACTGTTGCCTTATTAAGAGTCTGTTGCGTAGCAACGGGAAAGTGTTTACCGAGCCGTTGCCCAGAAACGTCCGTTGTTTACAGAGTCGTCGCTTAGCAATGGTCTATACGCCACAATATAATTTATAATGGCGCTTTTATTAAATAAATTTGGTCTGGTTTTATTTTTATTGTTGAGAAAATTGATGTGTTAGACGGCCACACCGCGATTCTGTCATACAACGGGACGCGAAGAATGAATGTTGCCGGGGAAAGCGAAACACACACTCTATGCCCCCCATACACCTGATATTTTCGAGACAAGAAGTGTTGCTATAAACGTACATTTCTGAACTTGTTTTTTTGATTTCAGTCCTTTAAGGAACAGAATTGCAACAGGAGGATCATCACGACCACCAAGATCAATTGCCCAGTCATTTTAACTATGACGGGAAATACGGCTGTCTCCACAGTTTGCATACCTTCTGAGTCCTTCAGCACTTAGAGATAATCCACTCAGTTTAAGCGGCCCATATACGTACGATTCTGGCTCGGACAGGAGCCGGGCTCGGATTAATTTCACCACACACGGATGAGTTTGGCTCATTGGCACCCG